GTCACACAGCAAGTTAGAGCTAAGCTGCAAATCCAGATCATTAAATAATTCTAGCATTCTGTGTAATTCCCTAGAAACCCCAGGAGATTCCCAAGTGGCCATGGGAAAGGCTGAGTTCTGCTATAACACAGACCTGCTTACTGACTGAGTGATTGGCTGAATGAACCAATCAATGAGCTGAATGATCCCATTCATTCATCCACTGGGGTCGCCTCCAATAGACCTGCCCTAGATTAAGTGCTGAGAATACAATGATGGACAAGGCAGAAATGGTCCCTGTCCTGGGAACGCGACAGTATGGTACTTAACTCACAGCCTTATCAACTTTGTCCCCCAGTGTGTGTGCAATTCAGTTTGTTTCTGGCTGAGATCAAACATCCATCATTCCTGCCTTCTGGCATTTTGGTTCTGGGAAAAAAAAAATGATACTAACGTGCATGGTCAGCCACGTGGCTACCTTCTGTGTAAATGAGCATATTGCCAGTCTTGGTGTCTCAGTGTCCAGGGCATCTCCTGGAGGACAGTTGGTCAGACAACAGGCAGACTCACCTCTTAGGCTCACCTCTCTCTCAGTCACTAAGTGATGCATTTGGGTGGCATGAGGTCTCTGGCTGGCTGGTGCTGCAAACTCCCTTTCCACCATGGATACAGGGCACCAGACAGAAGTGGCACAAAGGTTACCTCTGCCTGCATTTGTGTACTTTGAAAAATAAAGTGGAAAGGCACAAGTTTTGGCATCCGACCTGGGTTCGAATCCTGCCTCCCATTGCTACACCTCCGGGATTACCGGCAACCTATTTTACCGCCCCTCATAAATTAAAATACGACACAAAACTACAAAGCCAATTGGCTGAAGTGTCCTCACCCCTAAAGGGAAAAAAAATCAGCCCCGTTGTATTTCTAGCCACAGAAAATCTCCAGGAAAGTCTTGCAATTTGAACCCACCTGGGAGGTTCTCCTCTTTCATGCTCACAGTGCTGTCGGCAGCCAATGGATTCCAGCTTTATGATTTAAAATGTTTTTAGATACTTGCTGGGGAAATAAATATTTCTGCATATTTTGAAAAATTGATTCATATGCATGCGTGTGTTAAGAATAGAAGACTACCTCGTAAAACCATAGAACTTGATGACTAATGAGGCCCCAATGATCTTAGACCGACACCCTCATTTCAAGTGAAGAAA